TACCAGCGATCGAACTCAGGACCTTGCACTTTCGAGGCAGGTGGCCGTACCACTGAGCTAAATCCCCGGCCCCCAAAACAATATTCTTTACAAAAGTGGCTTCGAGCTGCATACAGTGGCACACACCAGTACCCTCAGTGCTCTGGGAGGCTGAGGCATCAGGATTGCAAGTTCCAGCTCAACCTGGGCAACTTAGTGACTTAGTGAGACCCTGCCTCAATTAACAAAATAAAAACAGCTTGGGATGTAGTTCAGTGTGAAGGCCTTAGATTCAATCTCCAGTATCACAAAAGCAAAAACCTGTGGTTTTCAGAATTATCTATACCTTGTATCTTTGTAACTCTGCCAATCTTTGTGACTTAGATTAATGCTCCAGGTGAGCTCCTGAAATTTTATTCAAACTCATTCAGTATGCCTAAATGTCTTACATTAATATTTCTACTTTTATATAAATTTCTTCTAAATACTTATTAATTTTTGAAGTTAAAATGTTAACAAATTTTAAAAGCAAAATCTGTTTTTCTTTATTTCCATGTATTGGTACTTCTGTTTTTGTTTTTGTTTTTGTTTTGTTTTTTTTTGGTGCCGGGGATCGAACTCGGGTCCTTGCACCTGTGCAGCAGGCAGCGAAACCACTGAGTTAATTCCCGGCCCATATTGGTACTTCTTTTAGGACCAATTAAAACAATACAAGTTTATGATTGCTGTGCAAGTGTATAAAGGAATCTAGTTGTTTTGCCTCGTCCTTATTTAGTCTTAGTATCCTATTATTGCATTACCTCTTGGGTTGTTGTTTGAGGCCTGGTTCTTGCCTCATGCTTAATAAGAGTAGTTTCTTTTGTTTTTGAGACAGGGTCTCGCTATGTGGTTCAGGCTGACCTCAAACTTGCTACGTAGCCCAGGCTGGCCTTGAACTTGCGGTGATCTTCCTGCCTCAGCCTCCCAGTGCTGGGATCACAGGCGTGTGCCACCACATCCTGCTTTAATAAGAGTTTAATGTACTTTGATGTGGACCCTTTGCTGCAGCATCCACACTATTTCCAGTATCTCCTGACTAGAGCAACATAGAACCTTGATATTACCTGTCTTCTTCTAGGCACTGAATATTTTTAGTTTTTTGAATTTAATTTAATTATTTATTAGTACGTGTTTGCAGTACAGAATGTTTACATTCCTTATGGAGCATTGGTACATACGTGTACATAACCCAGTTTCACTCCTGGGATTGGGAGTGTAGCTCAGTGGTACAGCACTTGCCTAGCATATGTGAGGCCCTGGGTTTGGTCCTCAGCACCCCAAAACACAAAATGTCTTAATTCCTTGTTTCATCCCTTTTCCCTCCCTCCATCTCTTGATCCCTTTCTCATTTGAAAAAGATGTGCTGCGCAAGCGCAAGGGCCCGAGATCGATCCCCGGTACCAAAACAAAAAAGAAAAGAAAACAAAAGAAAAAGATCTGTCTTCTTACTTCCTATTATCTCTTTTATTTTGCTCTTTATTTATATTTTGAATTTCTTATATAAGAGAACCCATGCATGTGATATTTAAGCTTGTATGTCTGATTTATTTTACTTTACATTATAGCCTCAAATTGCATCCATTTTCCTATAATGAGTTATGTTTATTCTTCATGGCAGAATAGTATGTTTTTATTTATGAACACCATACTTTCTGTAGTTTTGTGTAGTTTTTTTGAGACAGTGTCACTATGCAGTTCAGGCTGGCCTTGAACTTACTATGTAGCCAAGGCTGGCCTCGAAGTTGCAGCAATCCTACTGCCTCAGCCTCCCAAGTGCTGGGAATACAGTCATGAACAACCTCTTTCTTTTTTTTTTTTTTTTTTGGTACTAGGGATCAAACTCAGGACCTTGCGCTTGAGAGGCAGGTGGCAGAACCACTGGGCTAAATCCCTGCCGGAACAACCTCTTTCTTATTCATCTGTTGATGGACATATAGGTGGTTGCTTCCAAGATTTTGCTATTTGGCTCTGCTGCTATAAACATGGGTATGCATGTATCCATGTAATATGATACATACATGTATGTAATATGTAATGTAATGTGAGCTAAGTAAAATGGAATTTCTAGTTTTAGTTTTTGGAGGAATTTCTCTACTGATTTCCATAATTGTTGTACTAGTTTACAGTCCTACCAACAATGTAGAAGGATTCCTTTTCTCTGTGACCTTGGCAGCATGTGTTGTTATTTGAATTTTTGATGATGGGCATTCTTTCTGGGATAAGGTCTCACTATTGTTTTAATTTGCTTTTCTCTAATGGCCAGCAGTGTATTGAACATTTCTTCATGTATTTATTGGCTGTTTTTGCTACTTCTGTGAGATATCTGTTTGTTCATTTTACTTGCCCATTTTTTATTGGGTCTTTTATTTTGAGGGGTCTAATTTTTTTTGAGTTCTTTATATATTCCAAATATCAGTTCTCTGTCTGAGGAATAGCTGGCAAAAATATTTCTCATTCTGTAGGTAGTGTTTTCACTCTGTTGGTTGTTTCTTTTGCTTTTTAATTTGATACTATCCCATTGTTGATTCTTGGTGTTATTTCCTGTGCAACCTAGTTTCTGTTCAGAAAGTCCTTGCCTGTACCTATGAACTAAATATTTTTAAAATGTATAATACCACTTCATTTTCTTTGATATTTGCCTAAGTGTTCTCTGATATTCAGCTCATCATTTACCAAAATTTCTGAAGCTGTTGATCTTACATACCTGAAGTTCTTAGTGCTATATTGTTTGCTTGAAAAATTGAAGTGAGGGCATGCTTCAAGGGACTAAGTAAAAGGGTTAATTATATTTAGTTGATATATTTTACCCAAAAGTGATTTAATTTCTGCATTGTATATCTATTCTGAATGAGTCATTCTACTTCTTGAATTTTCCTAAGCATTTTTTTGTCTTAGTCATATAAGTCAATGTAATTTTCTGGGAGAGTAGGACCACAAATTTAGGATTTAATTTAGATAAAAACAGTCATTTAAAGTTTGGCCGATTCAGTTCACAAGGAAATGTTGCTAGTTCCTGTTTATCACTTTCTAGAGCTTGTTCTCAGTCTTATTCAGCTTTTCTTCATAATGTCATCAAGGAAGTACGAGGGGGTAGAAGTCAGTAATTATCACTAGAAACTTCTACATAATGGTAATCTCATGGAGGGCCGGGGATTTAGCTCAGTGGTTCTGCCGCCTGCCTCGCAAGGGCAAGGTCCTGAGTTCAATCCCTGGTACCACCCCCCCCCCAATGGTAATCTCATGGAGATCTTTGTTTCTCTACGAGAAATATGAAAAGCCTGTAATTCCAATTATGCATCTCTGTTTGCAGGGAGCATTGTCCCTCTGTTTTTAAAAACATCTTTCTACTCAGAGGCATGAGGATTTAGTCAGGTAAGAATACTTGTTCTATTGCCCTATTGTACCAGTGTTCCATATTTTTAGTGTTTAGGTCCATTTTGCAAGGCAAATGAACCTACTGTGTCTTACTGCAAGAGAAAAAATAAGATCATGGGAAGGCAGAAAAAAGCTTGGCATATATTATGCTTATTTCTTTAACTATGTATGGAGAAGCTTGGTCTGGATGACGTAAGAGGTCTCTCCACTTCCAAGAGTTCCTTAGTTTTTGGCTTACTCCATGTTATTTTAA